TTTTTCTTTTCGGTTTCTCTACTTTACGTACACAAAATCCTCTAAACAATGGCTAGAGGCTAGAATGAGTTACTAAATCAACAAAACAGTGACTTTGTTTTCTTACCCGCGAGTGGAGGAGATAGAGTGAAGTCCTTTTTTTGGTATATTGTGAGTTTCGAATTAGCATTCGACAAGGCATTTAAATTCAGATTAACTGCAGAGATTATATGCTTCGTGTATGGTTGTAAAGTTTTGTTTCTTTCTTTTCTTTTTTTCAAGAAATAAAGGACTTATCAAAAATTGTTGACGGCCTTCACTGGTTTTATACTGTAAAGCAGTTATTTGTAGCTTTAAATTTGTATCAAAAAACGGTTTTGATGATATTGTTTGAACTTCCATTATGTTCATATTTTTTAGGATATGTGGTGATCTTTGAAAGAAACAAGAAGAAAAAAAAATGAGCATCTTGAATATGTATATTGTATAGTGAATAGTTGATGATAAATGTCTGATTTTGAGAGTATATCAGTGAGTAGATATGATATATTTGTATGCTGTGTAATGAGATTGCAAAAGGAATCATTGATCATTAAGCACAGTATATAATCAATTATTTATAGTGTTCATATTAATTAAAAAATAATAATTAGAAAAATTCACCTTTTGTTTAAGTTAAAGCATTGCCTAAGTTAAGCTTTGACACACAATTTAACTTGTTTAAATATTTTATCATTAAATCAAATCATTTTTAATCATTAGTCATTACGGTACTTTTATTCATTCAAGATGTCATATATCACTTCACTTTTTCTAAAGCCAAAATCTTTTAAATCTTATCATCTAATAACAAAAATTTTGTAAAAAAATTTAAAAAAAATAAAGTAATTGTATCACTCAAATAGAAGGTTCACTTTGTTACCCAACTTGACCACATCATTTCAATGACCCGTTTGTCAATAATATAATTTGGTGGGTTGTAAACTGAGCAGCCTAATCTAAAAATAACCCTATTACCGTGATATGAGAAAACTACGCCGTTCACCTATCTATTTATTTACATATTAATATAATTTATAAATATTAATTTTTACGGTTTATCAATAATTTATTTTATCAATAATTTATTAATTCTATTGTTTTTTAATTTATAATCCATTTTATGAATGATTTATGCATATTTTATTCTAAAGAAGTTTTAACGTCGTGTTTTTACGAAAAAATAAAAATAAAAATAAATATAATAACATGGAAAAGGACCTACATTTCAACAGTGCACGGTAGAGTCGAACCCTCCGTTTCCGTGTCAAGTGAAGCCACTTGAATTGAAAACGCTCATGCTACTTTAGCTGAACAGTATTGTTCTCCTTAGACTCGTCTTCATTGCATACCACTCCATTTCCTCACGAGCTGAAGTACAAGGTTCTTCAAACGATTTCATCCCCCAAATTCGCTTCTGCAACCCGTAATTCTCAAATTTCCGAGCAATTTTAGCTGCAGGCATTTTGGAAATGGATGGAATTCTCGCAGTCGTCGCGTTCTCTGTGATCATCGGAGCTTCGATCGCGTTCCTGGCGTTCGGCAACTATTTCCGGAAGAGGAAATCTGAAATTCAATCCATTGCGACGCCAGAAACTCGTAACCTGAACCCGAAGCCTGTTTCGAAGACCGCGGTTGTGAAGAAGCCCCAGCACAAATCTCACTCGCACTCTCATGCAGCCGATAAAGTAAGTTTTTCCGATTCATGCCTGGTTTAGTTGTGCTGTTTCCGTTGGGTTTTAGGTGTTTGACCGATGATCTGCCGTATTTTTGTGTTGTTTGGATTTGTAGGATGCTAATAGGAAGCATCATCATTTGGATTTGAATACTTTGAAAGGGCATGGAGACGCTGTTACAGGTCTTTGTTTTTCGCCTGATGGCCGGAGCTTAGCAACTGGTGAATGTTTAGATTTTAGTTTCAGCATTGTCATTTTTTCTATTTTTTAAATACATGGCGTGAGTAGGAACAGCTTATTCATTTGCAATCCTGTGAAATCGTGAGCTTAATGAAAATGTTTTTATTGTTTGAGCTTGTCTTCACTTCAGACTGAATGTTATTGTATTGAACCTGAAATTATTTATGCACTGATTGTTTATACAGCTTGTGGAGATGGTGTTGTCAGGGTTTTCAGGTTGGATGATGCCTCAAGCAAAAGTTTCAAGTACTAATCTCTCATAACTTGTTTTTCTCGAGCTTTCTCAAATTTGGTGCATCTTAATTCAACCAATTCTAATAGTTACAGTGGCATCTGTTTAGGTTTCTGAGAATTAGCCTGCCTGCTGGAGGTCATCCAACTGTGCTTTCTTTTGCTGGTGACGCATCATCTGTAGTGGTGGCCTCCCATGCGCTATCAGGATCATCCCTTCATATGTATGATGATGAAAAACCTAAATCAGCTGGCGAGCAAAAGCAGCAGAGCAAGCTGCCTCTCCCTGAAATCAAATGGGAACATCACAAAGTTCATGATAAGAGGGCTATAATCACTCTGGCTGCGACCAAGGCAACTTATGGCAGTGCTGATGGGAGTACAATTGTTTTGTCTTGCTCTGAAGGTACTTCCTGGTCTGATTTTAACAGTTTGCGACTGGATATTGAACTTCAATGAGAGAACTTCTAACTGTGTGACCTTATCTGTATATCATGGTTATATGGTCTTTCTTGTCTCTGTGTGCCGTGTGGTTAGTGTTAAGATTTTCAATAGTATTTGTGGTTTTAGCAATGAATGTTTAGGCTCACGAGTATGATGTCAACTGTATTTCTTACCTCTTTTTTTTTAAAAAAAAAAATATTCTTTTAGCCTTTTTTCTCATTTTTTTGTAATTGAGGAACACAACCAGCATGCATGCTTCCATGTTATGTAATTATAGATGTGAGAATATGCATTTAGTATGGTGTGCTCATGGGTCATTGTGCTTTGAGATGATACCTGTTGTTTTAGTAACTCTGCGACGAAGTGAACTTTTGTATTTTCTTTTGTCAGGCACTGATATTATGCTCTGGCACGCAAAAACTGGGAAGGTGTTGGGTCATGTTGATACAAATCAGCTTAAAAATACAATGGCCACCATTTCTCCAAATGGTCGTTTTATTGCAGCTGCTGCATTTACTGCTGATGTTAAGGTGGTTGTTATTTCACGCTTGAATTTAGCCGGCATGATGTTTCTGACTTTCTGCTGTTAATGCTCCAGTTATTAATCTCCTTTAGATTATTCGTATATAACATTTTTGAATGGTGTGGAACATTTTGTAGTTTCTTTTAGGTTCACGTTTCTTGTCCAATGAAAAACTTTGAAAGATGAAACCCTTCCTTAGAATCCAATCATGCTAAGTTGTTTCTTCATTATTTTGATTGTGCAAGTGTTCTTTTGTTGAATTCTCAAAAACATCATTAATCATGTTAGCTTTACTGTACAGGTCTGGGAAATTGTGTATTCAAAAGATGGTTCAGTGAAGGAGATTGTGAAAGCCATGCAGCTCAAAGGTCACAAGGTTGTTGTCATGTGCATGCTTTACAACTCTTTCTCTGTTGTCTTTTACTCCATACTTACTTTGTTTCACCAGTACCATGTGTTATAAATTTAAACTTCAGCTGCAGTCTTTATTTAATTTTGTCATATGAGACTTGTGCTCTGCCTGCTTTCTCTTGCGGTAGATTAGTTTGGACCTGAGATTTTAATTTTTGTTTTATTTGTTTTGAGATTTATTCGTGCTTGTGCGTCAAACTTAGTGTTGTGAATAACATATGATGAACTATCCCTATTTGCATACATATTGTCTCTGGAACTTAATTCCTTATACTGACGTGGTAATAGTGAACGTTGACTGGTTGTGAATGTAACGACTCAAATCTCACTTAAAAGATTGTTTACCTAGAGCCTAGCAATACTGCACCTTTTAATTCCTGTTCTATGTTTGTTTTGCATTCAGATTTACATTGGTTTAATTTGAACATAATGCATGACATACACTTTGACATAATGCACATGTGGCATGATCCTGTTGGTTTACATATCACGTCATTTTAAAATTAACAATCCCCATACACACCATCATTCTATGTCAACCATTATGTCAAAATTATATGTGCAAATAGCATTTTCATGTTGCATCTTGGTCATATTTCAAGTTCATAGTCGGAAGACCTGATTGTTGCTCTTCTGTTTCTTCCTCCTCCATCTCCATTCCATATATTTTTAACATTTTCTTATGGTTTGATGTTCAGAGTGCTGTAACTTGGCTTTGCTTTGGTCCAAATTCAGAATACATTATCACAGCGTCTAAGGATGGTACAATAAGAACATGGAATATCAATGGTATGAATAGTTTTGGAACTTTTAAGTAGAATTCTTTTGAAACATTGAAATAGATGAATAGTTATAATAAGATTGGTATGGTTCTATAGCATGGAGCTTTTACCACTGTCAATTTTCAAAAATTGTGATACTGACCTGTAGTAGCACCTTAAAAAAAGCAGTAAAGATCTCACATAGGATGATCTTTCATGTCTGAGCATTACTTGCCTTAACCTAGATGTTGTTAATGTAGTAACTTCTAAATATCTGCTTCCCTGTTATAATTTTGATGTCAATTTTATTCTACTGACTTTCACTGTCTCATGAATCACAAAGTTCGGTATCATCTGGACGAGGACCCAAAGACTTTGAAGGTGTATCCGATTCCACTTCATGATGCAAGTGGCACTACTTTGCATTATGATCGTCTCAGCCTATCTTCTGATGGTAAAATACTGGCGGCGACTCATGGTTCAACGTTGCAATGGCTGTGTGCTGAGACGGGACAGATTTTGGAGACTGCTGAAAAGGCCCATGATGGTATTGCCTATTCCTGAATCTGCTAGCATTCTGTTCTTTCTGTGTCTCACATGGTCATAATGTACAGTTTTCACTTGATCTTGAGTATGGGATTGTGGTAAGTTATGGTCTCCTTATGGTGTAGTTATGGAGTTGCTAAAGTTGGTTAAAGTACTAATTCTTTCATAATTTTCAACTTTCCACAAAACTGAGAATTTATCTGTACTTTTATTTATTTTGACTGGGAATTCGATTTAACGAGTCTTGAGGTGATTATATGTAGTTTATAACGCTGTAATCTTCATTCCTTGTACTCTAATTACTAAGATAAACAGTCAGGATGGGGAAGAAAAACATATGTTTATAGTCATTAATCCGTGTTGTAAAGCACTATGCTGTGATTACATTATTTGGTCCATTCTCTTGAAATTTAGGCTGCAGTGGAGGTTGCACCTTGCTTCTGCTGTACAGTGGCTAAATTTGGGAACTGATGAATAGAACTTAGATTTTCCTTCATTAATTTTACTCGAGCAAAACTGTGATGCAGGTGATATTACGGACATGGCATGGGCGCCTGCATCTATTCCATTGGGTAATTTTCTTTCATGTTTCCATAGTATTCCTGTCAGTTTGTATACATGGCAAAAACATATGTTATGCTATCATATTTTTATTTTGTTTTGGTGGATGAGTAGGGTTATTTTGCAAATAATGTTCAAGAAGCATTTCATATGAAGTAAACACGGAAACTCAAATCCCAATTAACTTTCTTTTGTATTATCTTTTTTGTTTCAGAAAATAAGCCCGTGCCTGTCTTGGCTACGGCCAGCACCGACAAGAAAGTCAAGCTGTGGGCAGCCCCACCACTTCAATCCTCCTGAGAGAAAAATGGCAACATAAGTAAAAGAAAAAGAAGAAGAAGAAAAAAGAACATCTTCATCAAACTTGAGCTAGGCATGGATTTCTGATCTCTGAAAGAGTTACTCGGTTGGATATGTAGTCTACAAAATACTGATCTCTGAAAGAGTTTGAACGGCGACCAGAGGATCTTTGTTTCTCCTGTTTTTGCTTATTTTCTTTTTAATGGTTTGCTTTTAGAAAAAAATTATGATCCGAGGAATCCCTTTACTTCTGCAGTTTTAGAATTTGTACTAATTTTCTGTTTTAGCATCTGATGAGTGTAGTAAGATCTATACTATAACTCCGGGAACAGGTTTTTTGAATTCGAATCCACCCCGGGTATTTTCATATTTTGCATTTTGACCACCAAATGGAAATGCTGGTAATCAAACACAGTTTTGCATTTGACCCACAAAGTGAATACAGGAAGAAAAAAAAAAGAGAGAGAGACTTTAACCGCCCACCGTGGGGCTCGAACCCACGACCACAAGGTTAAGAGCCTTGCGCTCTACCGACTGAGCTAGACGGGCTTGTTGTAATCAACAGTAAGCTCATGCCAAAAATTAAAATGAGTACAATTTGTTAATATTTGCACAACAAAATATGATGACTGCTGCATTTATTGTGATCGATTAAAATGGCCAAACCAATTATAATTTGAATCCCAATAATAAAATTCAATCTTTTTCCAATTACCTTTAATTGGAATTTTAGAAAAAATAATATTTTATAGTTTATTTAGTTAGCTGATAATTTTTTTTAACATTTAAAATGTTGAAGCTTATTTCATGAGATCTTTTTAGTATTATAAATTAATATTATCAAACACTTTTATTTTATTACCTAATTTATTAGTGAACTTTTATTTTATTTCCTAATTTATTAGTGATATGATCTATAAATCACTTATTAGCCAGCTTTTCATTTATTTGTAGTACGGTAATTCGTGCTGGGTGAAAATTAACTCTTCATTTCTTCTGTTCTTCCCACCAAACAAATGCGAGAAACACAAACGCTGCCCATTGCCCAATAAACAAAAAGGAATCTATATATATATAATTGCTAGCCTTTCATTTAATTTTACCTCATAAATAAAACCTAATAAATTTTACCTAATAAATAATACAATCTTTCCAAATACAAAAACCGTGACTTTTACAAAATACATCACTTTTCGACAGTTACAAAATCTAAACCAATGACCACTATTTTATCTAAGTATATCAATTTAGGTTAATTAGCTAAAAATATTTACTTTTTTAATTTCTTATATAATCATTAATATGCTAACTTAATTACGAATTATTTATTATAGAAATTCATGAGTACATAAGCATGTATTCAGAATGTAAATTTGTGAAAAAACTTTTTATAAATGTTTATTTGGAATATCTATTGTTTTTTATGATCTCACTACAATAATTAATCATGGTGAAAATGAAAAATATAACACATGTACAACATGGACAAATACACTAACAACAATACAAAATAATTTCACCACCTCTGAAAATTATATCATATAATAGTTATTATTACAATTAATAATTATATTTTACACTAAATGATATGTGAAAGTTACATAAACATAAGAAACTATATTGTAAAAACTTTTTGTTCGAGTAATTTATTATGAAATCAATATAATATTTCTTTATCTGCTTAAGCGATTACTTTTTAAATAAATTAATTTTTTTTAATGGCATAGTAAAATTTCTTAAAAATCGCATAAAAAATTATTATAATAAATATTTTTTAGCTAATTAATTAGTCATAGTCCCTTAAAATTTCAAAAATTACATTATTTATTTTATTTATGCAATCAATATAGTGATTTATATATAATAAAATCGTTATGTACTATTTATTTTAACCAATAATCAAAATATAATACCTTTATCTAACTTATAATTTTAATATTATATGCATAAATATAACTTATAATATCCTATGTTTAAAATATAATATTATTATTTAACTTATAATTTTAATATATGCATACAAATAACTTATAATATTTTATTTACATCTGTGCAAATGTACAGAATCGAATACTAGTACGGACAATATAATAAACAAAAAACTCACTCTCACTCCCGCCGTAATCAGAGAGCCAAAAGTAAAATATACTGTTGTGTATGTGTTTTTCAGGCGTCGAGGTGAAACCTGGAAAGCCAATCACTCACTATTGCGAAAAGGCTAGAGGAAGGCTTCGAATTTCTCAGGTGTTTATTCAATAGAATGGAATATTGGGCTAAGCAAATGTTTGAAGTTTTATTTGGATTTGCATTTTGAATGAGGATTTGTTGATACACCTTTCTTCATGAAGCACAATAGACGGGTCACAATTTGGATGAGAGAGTTTTCCAAATTGTTATGATCTTGTCATTATCTGTGATTCTGCCAAAATGTTTATTGTATGATACGATTTTGCGGTGTTATTTGTCATGTGTATTGTCTCTTTTTACTAATTTCGTTATTGCTGTAATTGATTTGGTCTATTAGGCAACTCTTGGATTTGGTGATGCTACAATGAGGTCAACAGTGCAGTGTAATGTAGGTGGAAGGAGTCCGGTTTTGCTCTGTGTGTTGATGCCCGAAAAAACGGAGTCTTGCCATTTAGATTTGGAATTCGAGGAGGCTGATGATGTGGTCTTTTCTGTTATCGGCCCACGAAGTGTGTACCTCAGTGGTTATTACGTCCAGAAGATTCAGGGCATATGTTCGCACAACGATTCGTATCCTTATTTTGTGTTTGTTCTTTTTTTATGCTAATAAAAATGCTGCTTGAGTTTGTTTGCACGTTTATTTGGTTCGGAGTTTCGAATTCTTAGATTCCTTTACGCCTGACGCTACAGAGAAACATTGGGTTTAGATATTGAAAACACCAATACGGAGAGATCTAGCTATCGTAGTGATGATGATAATGAATATGGCGGCAGTTTCATTAACGATGATCACGAGTTACAGTTTTCTCCAGAGTCCCCCGTTGAAGGCAGTAAAGGTACGTAGGTTTTTGAAATTTGAATGTGAATGCTATCTGTTACAGTGCTCTTAGTACTGTACGACTGTGTAAATACTTCAAATGTAATTTGTTAACCTCATGTGGTTGTTACATTTTTTGCATGGGTATTAAATATTCTATCCTGAGAGCCCTATGATAATTCGGGATTCCCAAAGGTTTTTGTAATTCATCGGACATCCATGTTTGGGAATAAACTAGACGTCATTGTCATTGATTTTGAATTTTTATCGTGGTTGTTTACCATCTTAAACAAGGCTTGAAATTGTGATCATTGAAGGAGTGAATGAAGAAGCTACACCAGAAAATGATGAGTTTGAGGACAAAGAGCTGGGACACAGTGGACAAGGTAGGAAGAAGTACCGAGCGATAGTATCAGATGATGATGCCGATCCGCATGAAAGTGACGATAAGGTTTCCCATAGTTTATCTGCATCAAAGAGTAAAAGTGACATGGAGACAACTGCCTGTAATGTTGGACAAATGATACCTATTGAAACAGTGGATATGGGGGACGAGGCAGAAGACGATGGTGTGTGTGGTGTTGACAAACTGGATGGGTAATAAATTGATTTACTATTTAAGGCTATAAATGCACTTTCTTCATGTGATTGTCCTTCTTTCCTTCACATATAAGGACTTTGAAATGTCCTCTTTCGTGAAGTAGATATATGGTTTCTGGGGGTCTGTTGAAATGTTTTGATGTTGGTTTTAATCAATTTTTTTTTTCCCTTGAATTCTGATAGTTCTGTCCTACATGCAAATGATAATGCCATGGAAGAGGAGACTCTTGAGGAAACTAATGTTTCCAGCGAAAAGGTCTTAACTGGAAATCCAATTCATGAAAGTAATGCAAAAGACACGGTCAGCAGCCAGAGTCTGTCCACGAGCATAGGGAACGATGAAACACCATTCCGTGATCTGTGAGCATCATCTAACAATGTGTTGTCTGTACATTTTTTCAGCTTTTTTTACATTATCTGCCTTGCCATTTATAGTTTACTTCTTAGTTGGGGGTGTGAGGTTAGTCAAAAATCACAAAGGAAAAGAAAAAAGCACTCAAAGGAGGAGAAAAACCACACCAGTCAAGCAGACAAGATGGCAGAGGATAATGTGCACGAGGTTGAGGCCTCCAATAATATGTAAGAACCATGTGTGTTTGATCTATTGATAATGGCATTTCCTAATGTTGCATCTTTTATCGTGTTGAGTTTCCTTCTAATATTAAGTACACTCTCAATCAGGGATATCAGTAGAAATTCCAATAATGGTCTAACAAAGAAGAGAAAGAGTGAACTGCAGCTGGAAGGAATAAGTGTAAAAGGAACTAACAGTCATTGTGGTTTACAGCGTGCTGAAAACCAGACTCAAGAACAACCGGGGTTAGAAGAAATTCATACAGAAGAAATTGGTGATGAAGAAAGGGGAGAAAATCAAAACCAACAGATTGATAAGTTAGTACCCAGCTGCTTTTTCTTTGGTCTAGGTTTTTCTTCTCGTGAATATCATTTCACTCGCAGATATAATAATACAAGATCACTAGGTAGGAATTTGGTCATTCTATCCATACGCTGAAATATTATTTAGGTTGAATCGAACAACTGGTGAGCTATGATTATAATGATTATTAGGTGTTAGGCTTGGAACTTTTGAACTTCAGGAAAAATATAAGATTTTTTACAGTTAGAAATGAAATCAACGAAGAGTTTATGTTGGAACTTGGAAAGCAGTATAAGAAGATAAGGTTTTTGATCTCTAGCAGCACCATCAAGTATTTCCAATTTATATCGTTCATTTTAGTAACAGAAATATCTTCTTGCAGCATCGTCAACACAGTATATGAGGAGATACTAGCTAGTTATGGTCAGCCTAACAAAAGGACTAAGAAAAAGAAGAAGAAAACTCCATCCAATGGGAACTTGAACATGGGCACAACTGTTGTGGAATCTAATAATCCAGAAACCACGCTCATGGAAAGTGACCACCAGAGTGCAAATGCAGCCATATCAAAGGGGGGTTTAATCATTGAGGAATTAGACAGTGGACCACCTGATGCTAAAGTAGCTGCACCGGGTAAAAAGGTATATTTTTGTCATCTAATCATTATATGTGTACAAAATTAGTTGGGTTATGTTGTTCTTGGTTGATTTTATTATATGATGCCAGTTACTGCTATGATTGAATTTGAAATCCGATCAGGTCAAAATTTATTACACGGCCATTGTGAAGGCCACTGGGCATGTTTTCGACTCGAATGTTGGTAAAGATGCTCTGTATTTTCGGTTGGGCAATGAAGATTTCATTGATGGCTGGAATGTTGGCATAGATGGTAGCTACTTGTGAAGCCTTCTTACTACTTTTTCTGTGTTTATTTTCTTCAGGTTTAATTTGTAATATTTGAACATGATATCACTTAGGTATGCGTGTTGGTGGAAAGAGGAGGCTTATTGTCCCACCTTCAATGGGGTATGTTTTGAATTTTCTAAATGCAGAAACTTGTATTTGTGTCTAATTTTGTCCAGAAAAAGTTCTCTTTTTTCTTTTCAGTCTGCAGTTTCCATCCATCTTACGTTTTTTTCGCTTGTGGTATCAGTTTTGGAGATAACGCAGTAGGAGAAGATGTTCCACCAAACTCATGGTTGATATACGAAATTGATCTGCTTAGTGTACGAAGATAACCTCGTTGGCTTTGGCCTTTTCTGCTTCTCTTCCATCTTTGGGGTTTTGCCTAAATGGAAAGAGGCTTGGATTGAAACAAAAGAAATGGGGTCTGAAGCTAATGGTCCAGTTGAAAAAATATTTTAGAATCAGACAATTCGATTTTATTTTACTTTTTTGCTTTTTTTGCTGTGGAAGTATTCAAAGTCTCCGTGTGAGCTTGGTTGATAAAAGATCGTTTGTATATCAACTGCCAGTTTTAGCCACTGTGAAATTGATGCATTCCTGGTTTGTTTTTGTTTAAATTTTAAGTATTTAAGGAAAAAATAATAATATTTGATGCTCTAAAAAGCCTTTTATCTTTCAACTTTAAATATTATAATGCGTGTGTTCAAACATATAAAAGAGGGCCCGCCAAGCCTAATGCGAAGATGAATATAATATTAATCACAATATCATTACCAATGAACCCGATGAATAAATATTGCCAACCAAATTTGAAGGTCACTGTAGTGTTACTCCTTAGTTGCACGGGGTAAAGATTGATGCAGCCTAGTGAAAAATACATCTTTCAGGAAAATTTACCACATTAATGAATTGATTCATTCAAGCATCAAAATGTGTCAGTTCAAAACATCTCAAAACATTTTTCACATAATTGGTACAAAAGTGTTTGAGATCTGAGGACGAGCATACACATTAAACGGCAGCATAGGGCCCAAACAAACCTGAAGTATCTATCATATTAATATCACGATTCTTTCTCAGAGTTCGGTTCCTCTTTCACCATGAATATTCTTGCTTCATTCTCCAGAATATCACTATACACAAAAGATTGGAAAACAAATACTTCAAAATATGATAATTTATTTAGTAAAAAAGGCGTGAGCATAAAAGTCCACAAAATTCAGAAACAAATAGTAGTGGGGCAGGTCAGACCTCTCGGGTGCTTCGTTTTTGCTTATTAGCATCACCTCCTTCGATGCCAAATAATCGGAAAAGTTTTTAAGATGCTTGTCACGGGCGAACTTGTTTAGTTGGTGCAAGAAATCATTGAACTGTTTTGGTTCCTGCATAATATATAGACATTAAATATATACAGAGGGAATGCCTCTCGAAATTCTTCTAATATATGTTTTATTTTAAATAGAAGAAAATGAGGTATTACAGAAATTTCGAAAGAAAGCTTTACCTGCTCCAGGATGCACCCCTTGCGTAGAGCGACTAAACATTCCAGAACTTTCTGATAGCTATCTCCATCAAAATTTTTCTCAAGCAGATTAAATATCTTATCTTTCATGCTCTGAATAGCTTTACCAACCCACTGTGGACTATCTCTACGGGAAATCATGGCTTCAAAGTCTTGAATGGGGTTCGAATCCCCAATTTTTTCGACTTTGACTTTGGATGTATATTCAATAGCATCCATGGCTTGGCCACTGGTACCAATACCCTCTCCCACCTCATTTGACCCTGAAGGTTTTTCTCTAAATACTCTTCGTGATGATTTTTTCAGCTGCAAGATGGAAACAGTAATAAAAATTTCAAAAAGGAAAGGAAAGAAATAGTTCCGCTTTGGGATATGCAAATGAATGTTGACCTTTGGATTCTCTTTGACCTCAAAGCACCTTCGGAACTCCTTAATCACAGCTTCGTTTTGAGAAATAAGTTTGGGGTCAGGTTCTGTAATTCTTCTGAGGGTCTCATCAAGTGGAGGGACTGCCGCTTTTGGGTCCTTAGATTTCAGCTCGAGTGTGCGGTAATAACGCTGAAAATTTATGTACCTCCTTTAATTGTAAAAACAGACACTAGCAAGCAATGGGTATAACGTTCGATATTTTATTCATAATTTTCTCTTTTGTAATTCCGATTTCATTTACCTTCAAGTGAAACTTCAATTATTTTAACGCATAGAACAAGTTTTGTTTAGAATGAGGCTCGCCTAAAGATTAATTCTATCGATTTTAAGAAGCTTGCAGATAATCTAATTGGTATAAAAGAGCATCATTCTTTGAAATGGCTTCAAGTGTTCTATTCCCACCAAATTTACTGATATTAATTGGAAATTAGTAACAATTCAAAGACATGCACGCCATTTTCTAGAACGCTTTCCACCAAAAATAAATGAATAAATAAGGAAAATAAAATATCAGTACAACTCAGCAGGAAATTGCTGCAAGTTAGTTGCTTTTGGACAGCCAGCTGATAAGACAAGAAACTGAACTGAACTTCCACATATATATATATATATATATATATATATATATATATATATATATATATACACATAAAATATTTTCCAATGCAGTACCATGCAAACAATTATTATTAGTTTACCTCTAAAACAGGATTTGGTGTGAGATTGGGTTGCAAGGCTTCCTCTCTGCCAGGTGGAGCAAGATCAAGCATTTGGACCAACTTATCTGCAGCCTCTTGCTGTTGTTCGTTTGGCTGCATTGACGAAGGCAGATTGCTAAGAGATGGAAACTGGAACTCCCTCACATCCTCAGCAAAAGGAAGTACGTTGAAATAGAATGAATCCGGCTGCAAAAATAAGTAAGGGTAGAAACAAAAAAAATTAAACAGAAACAAATCAATAACCCGCACACTAAAAAGGCAGTACAAACTTGCAAATTCTGTTCTAGTTACGTACAACATTATCTTTCTCGGATATATTAGGAGTTAGCACTCCTATGACAACATTCGTCTGCCCTTGTCTCCAAACACAACGCACAATAGCTACTTTATTCATTTCCTTCATTGCTCTTGCTAATGCAGAAACCGCATGAATTGCCTTTATTTTTCCAGGTTCGGCAATGAAGATGTTGACATCTTTCATGTAATAGTGCCTTAAACCACAAATTATCAATATTCTGACAAGAATTAACTAAATAACAAATCTTAATAGTCCAGAATATTTTTTTTTTCACCTCATGACATTTGAAGCCTTCGTAAAACCTAGAAGCTTCACACCCTTCTCTGGTTTGAACTTGACAGCATCTAACTCAGCAGATGATATAGGGATTACCTGAGGACCATATCGGTACCCTCTGATCCTTTGTTCGGGTGGTATAACTCTACCAGGATCGTCAACGCATTTATATTCATAATCAACCTTAATTTCATGTGTGGCAAATTTATCTGTGGGAGGCGCTTTATCAGAATACTTCTTGAAGGTGGGGAATTTCTCTTCACATGTTTTCTTGTACACCCATACCTAATATGAGAATACAATATATCTCCTCTAATTATACAACTAAAAATACACACGAAAGATTCAAAAAAAAAAACAAAAAAGGAATCTAAAATGTAGGCCACTGTTACATAATGAAAAAAAAAAAATGGTCAGATGCAAAAAATTGCAAATAACCCAAAAATATATCATCCACTGTAAGGGAGAAAAAAACTATTTAAAAGCAAACTTTCATGGAGCCTCACCTTGATCTTCATGTTAGGGCTCAGTTCGAAATCGCCTCTGTACACAGTTACAGGTGATATATTACGAGTCCGAAGAGCACCTAATAGTGAAAGTCCACTTTCAACATACACTTTTGAAGATTTGTGGGAGAATATACTCAGCAGGAAATCATTCTCATCCAAGACCGCCTTGTCGATGCCGGAGTCTTGTTTTGCTCTGACAATGACACAGTCCATCTTCATGCCATGTGTACTCATTTGCTGGGCAACAGTCTTCACTTGATCCTCTTTTGTCCCCTCGAATGGATCTTTGGTTGGGGTAGCTGCATCAGTTATGAGACATAACCGTTTTTTCCCCTTGTTGGTGGGCCCGTACTTTTTAATCATCATATCCATCCCAACCACAATTGCATCGAGAACTTCAAGTCAGTTAAGGAACACAAGTGGTTGTAGCATACAAAAAAAAAATAATGTACAAATAAAAAGATTATTACAATTCACAATTTAACTATTTACTCAAGTCGTCGACAGAAAAACCGACTCCAATATATATTGTCATAATCACTACCTTCGTCCATAAAGTGAGCCTAATTACAATTGTACAAGTAAAAGATATTTCACAGGACATTATGAGGTCCGCTGCATAGTCACATTATTCTTGAAAATAAAAATTAATAGGAAAATAAGAAAAAGTGGCAACCAGAGATTTAGTTTGAGCCATCAGAAAAAAGAAATGTAGATTTTGCAGAACACAAAGCACAAAATTGGATACAGTCTCCATGTACAGTTCCTCGGGGAAGATAATGTAAAGCTTCCACAAGGTCTCCATCAACAACCTTTATATCCCGCAAAACCTTGACATTGTCATATCCACCCACTTCCACTGTCAAGTCATTTTTAGTATCTGAAAAAAAGAAAAATTCAACCACAATATATTATCTCTCTTATATGAATAAGATCCGAGGAAAAAGGTCTGGAATACAATCAAATATCATATAACAGGAAAAGGAAATGGACAAATTTCTTCATACGGATATATTGGTGACTTAACTGTTAAAATTGCAAAAATCTTTTTCCATCACCATTTAAACATTAACATAATTAATACATTCACTCCATTTCAAAAGAACATTAGAAGCTAAATCTAAGTATACTTTTTTTTTATGAACGAAACTGCAAACAAATTTACTGAAACAATAACTATATCAGTTCCAATACTTGAAAATACCTGCAGTACCAAATGCCACGACCCCCACCTCATCAAACTTGCTGAAAATCAGCTGCATCAAATAAAAATTTAAACATTATAAAAGAAGAAAATAAACAAGACACAGAACTCAATTTGCATGTTGTAAAAAGAAAAAAATGCAAGAATGTTCAGTTTTAGGGAAAATTACATACGGCAAATCTTTGTCACAGCAGGAAAAATTCAAACGAAACTAACTTTGTTTTACCTTCTTCTGTATAAGCATAGAACAAACTTTTTCTACTTCTGGCAGAAAAGCGTGCATCGATGGGCCAACATCAAGCACCAAAATCAAACCCTCCTGTTAACATAACATAAAAAATCATAAACAGAAACAATAATCTTCTAAAGTTCGTTTTCATTCTCAGCAACTTGTGCAGATTTTCTGGAGTTACGCAAATCAATATGCAACATTTTTTTTTCTCCTAAATAGTAGGAATCGCTTATGCGCAAACAATCGCATAACCTAACTGTGAGAACTAAAAACCACATAAAACGTATGGATAAAAACGGAGAAAGTGAGAGGAAAGGTACCTTGTTTCGAGCCATTACAGAGCATGAAATTGCAGAGATTTTAGTGGAGAAAGTGAGTTGTTTGATTAGTCTCTTGAGCTGCTTCTGTATTTCGTTCCCGCGCAATGGGGGTCAATGTGAAATTTGTTAAAGCTTTTGGGTGAATTGGACATTAGCTTCCTGCAGAATTTNTAATGGTGGTTTGATATCTTTCATTTAATTAAAATTTTCGACTGATAGAATAAATGTATTGGGAAATGAATTATTATTTTAATTTAAAGCGAGATTATATAAAAATAATAATAATTAACTATGATACGATAGAGAAATAATAAAGTGATCATTGTAAATAAATATGTGAGTAGATGAATATTAAATTTTATAATTAAATATATGATAACAGTTCATCCCTAATTTAAAATTTTTATGAAAATATCAGTTGAGTGGAGCGAGAAAATGTTACATAGATGTATAATTTTTTTATTAATGCATTGAATAATAATTTTGAATATATACCCAATTGCACTCATACTTGCTCAAACTATATATCCAAATCTCAAGGACAACTATAGTTAGAAAAACCATAGCAAAAATAAAAATACACATTCATAACAAGACTTTCAGTTTTCAAGCACAAAAAATATGTTTACTTCCAAGTTCCAATCAATGTAGGGAACGAATGATTAATTAATTACTATGTTAATTATTTATTCATCAAAATAACAAAACAATTGGGCTATAATACGAAACAAGTTTTTTCACATAATTGTGCTTTTCATTAAATTTCTTCTTAAAATTACACAATCTCCATAAATATGAAAACAAAAACAGCCGCTACAATCCTGATTTTCCGTGACGTGCAATTTTTCCATGATCAACGCGTCAATCCTAATTTTTCTCCGCTCTCAGTCTCCTTATTCTTGTGCCAATAACAGTTAAAAGCGTAGGAGGCGTGCGTCACCACCCCGATCGTCGCAGCCGTCTACCTCTGCCGAATCCGCCACCCCGCCTCAGACCGACCGGCCTCCCTCTCCGGATTTGAGGCTTGTACCTCAGAATTCGACCAGAAATCGAAGTGTTATCGCGAATGGGGATGGGTTTGGGAATGGGGTTTTGGTTGAGGATGATGAGATTGAAAGTGTGGGAAAATAAATTACTAATAAACTACTGATAAGCTACTGATAAACTACTGATAAACTATCGATAAGCTACTGATAAACTATTGATAAACTACTGATAAATTCATTCAAATCTTCATTTCATACACTAGTTAGTGTGCAATGGGAGAGATAAACTTTAATAGAACCAAGAAAAAACTAAAAATTCACCCAAGATTTTGTCATCACATTATAAAAAAAAATTTACCATTATAAAAATATGCATACAGGAAACTACTCATAGTCCATAAGTAAAATCAAACAACACTATGGGTTGGATCTTCAATTGTCATCGGGTGTAGTTCGCGGCTCCAATCGCCGCCTCATTATTTAGAGTTGGATGATGAAACCCTTTGTCATCCTGTTATGCCGCCGGTTGTCGATCTCAAATCCAAGTCGCCGCCGCCATAATTCATTAATTGATTGCATGAGGCGAGATTTGTTGTTCGCGAATCAAAAATTAAAAGAAGAATTCGGTCTAATTTTTTATTTTTTGGTGGTATCTTTGTGTGATGCCAAGAAATCGGAAAGGAAGAAGAAAAGATAATGGTGAAGAGATAAAGGAGAAAAATAGAGTTTAATTTATGAAATATAAAATAGTTTGTAGAATATAAAATTGTTAATTTATTTGGTATCAATGAACTCCGTCTTAGTGGAACTGTTGACATCAATTAGGCATTACAAACTTATTCTCATCATTACGTCTATCAAAGAAATAAAGGTCGTCTTTTCTCAAAAAATTGATACGATATCACAACCATGATATAGATGGGCCGGCCCAACTTCACAGCTCGTACCCTATTCATGACAACCTAACAGGCCCAGCTCGGACGAGTTGATTTTCGTCGCGGCAGAAAGACCTTGTCAAGTCTATTCGACTCCTGTGCCCACTCAGACACACACACACACACACAAACACTGACCTCGGACAAAAATCTCAGAGCTTGAGCTTTCAAAAATGGCGTCCATGGCGTCCAACGCCTCCCATATCCACTGCCGCCACAAATGCCCCCCAATAAGCAAAATGACTTTTCCTAAACACACATTTAGCCTAATTACTGCATCTCAGCAGAAAAAAGAGCAGGAGGAGCCGTCCCGTGGGGCCCCCGAGCAAAAGGGTCGCAGGTACTTCTTACATATTACTATAATATATATTTCTTAATATACCAACAAAACTTCTTCTTATTACCGATTTAATGTTAGAAAAAGGAGTTGTTTTGTAGGGAAATTATTCTGAGGAGCAGTGGGGTTGCAGTTCTTGGAGCAATTTTCCACTTCAGGTGCCTAAGTTTCCATTTTTACTTAATCTGTTCTTGTATTATTTTCGTAGTTTCACCTCTGTATTGGATTTTGTTAGCTAATTTAGTATATTCAAATATGGGTAGTTAGTTCCAATCATTTCTGCCTAATCATGTAAATTGAGCTCAGCAGAGTATGAAAAGATTATATAGAAATTTAGACATAAATTCTGATTGGGGCCATTTGGGGGTTTGATGCAGTGGAACAAAACCCAACTACTTGGGAGTGCAGAAAAGCCCACCTGGTCTAGCATTGTGCCCTGCAACAAATAATTGTGTATCAACTTCTGAGAATATGAGTGATCTCACACATTATGCCCCTCCTTGGTAAGTTCTCTTGTTCTTCTTCCTGTTATTATAAATGTTATCGTTTGTATTCTTGTTATTATTCTACTATGTGAAATTTGGAAAAATGCCATCTTTTTGCTTTCTCTAGGCAAAACTACTACTTCCGGTCGTAATAACAATCATCGTTTTCTTGATCGTAATAGACCAAAATGGCATTTTTTTTTAACACATACAGAATGGTGTCATATACGTACATGTGTCACTCATTCAACAGAATGGAACACGAAATGAAACACGAAAGTGTAGCTGGATATCTTATCCCAACACATAGGCAAAGGTCGTATTTTTGCAAATTTTTGCCTTTTGTTGTTACTAGTGGTAATAATTATAATAATAATAACAATAATAATAATAATAATAATAATAATAATAATAATAATAATAATAATAATAACAATAAGGGGATTTATTTGGACGGTGAGGCTCCACACTTCCACTAAAGCTTTTCTATTTCCACACAACTGTGGAAAATGTTTTGTGAGTGTGAGATTGACTATATAGACACAATATGCATCGAAAATGTATCAGCTATGATTACTTTCTTAAGTTTATCTCTCTCTTTTTTTTTCTCTTAGTAGAAGTTAAGTTGATCGTGTGGAAGATCTTGAGCCTGTTACGAAATGCTTACTGAAAGAAAAAACTGTTGTTTTTCAGGAATTACAATCCTGAGGAGGGGCGCGGGAGTAAAAAACCTGTGACCAAAGAGCGAGCAATGGAGGAGCTTCTTGAAGTGGTACTTCCAACACTTTCATTTAATAGTTGTCGAGTGTCTTGGCACGTAATAGGTGTAAATGGACGTTAAACAATAAGAAAATGGAATTTCAGAATTTGAAAGAACTTTGATGTTAGTTTAGACAACTGATATTCGAATTTCTGATGATAGTGTCTAATTCTTAATCATCAATTTCAGTTTCGTTGAGTTTCTGAAATCATATGTCTTATCTTCTTCATTTTGGTTGTTTATTACGAATATACCTTTCGTTGGAGATAAACTGAAACATTATGAAGCTGATTACTATATATGATGCAAACAGATAAAGTCTACAAAACCGGACAACTTTTCTCCGAAAATTACAGAGAAAAGAGACGATTATGTGCGTGTTGAATATGAAAGTCCAATCATGGGGGTTAAGTACCATAACACATATCCTCATTTTTTTTTTATTTTTTTTTTATTTTTCTTCTTTTTTCCTATTTGTAACCCCAATTGTGACTTTGTGTTTTGAATTAGTTTGTGGATGACGTTGAGTTTTGGTTCCCACCCAGCAAGAAGCCACTCGTGCAATATCGGTCAGCATCCCGTTTGGGGAATTTCGATTTCGACATTAACAAAAAGAGAGTTAAGGTACGAAATGTCAATGATTGATGAATAAATTGTAGCATCATAATACAATGTTATGAACACTTGGGGACCTTAATAGGTATACTTTCAAGTCCAGGGCCCAGATGTGAAAATTTGAACTTTGGGAAATTAGTGAATAGTGAATTTTGTGTTTGATGAGACATAAGAAAGGTAATTTGAGTTCATAGATTTATATTAGTGAGTTTATGGGCTGATTTTGCATTGCTTGACCTTCGAATAGTAATTGTGCTAAAAAAAACATTAGAAAAAAAAAGGTGAAAATGAGACATTGTTTCATTTGAAGGAGCATTTGAAAGAATGATTAGAATACAAGAAATAGAGGAAATAGATAAAAGGATTACAAGTTTACACCAAGTGTAAGGACTATAAAAACACCCTGACTAACAAGCAGTAAAATATAATCCGAACAATATGACATTTAACTCTTTTTATAAATTTCTACCTATACCACTCAATCATTCTTAATAATACATCAGTTTTCATTCACTATTTATCCACCCACATAATTTTAATTAATAATACTTCACATTATCTTTCTCCTACTTTTTCATTAAATTAACTTTCATTATTTTATTTTAAATACTATTTTAATATAAACGCAAAATCTCATTAACAACTAAAAATACAATTCTTTTTCAAAATTAACTATATCAAACTAAAAAATTGGAACAAAATCAAAACAGTTGATATCCAAGCATCCCTTAAACACAAAACCCGCTTTTTAGGTATAAATCGCTACTAATGCAATACAGCGTCTTTTGGTACAAAAGGAGCTGGGAACTGCAAAGCAGAGAGGAGAAGAAAACGAACTGGAAATGGCGGATTTATTTGCTTGGCTATTTTCCTTTTTTATCGTCATAGCTTTAGTTGGAATAATTCTTTACCAGGTAAAATTAGTGTCCTTTTAGCAGCTGTACCTTTTTTTTTTCAATTTGTTTTACTTCGCTCTGAGTATTTGCCTATTTGGTGCCTCAATCTATAAAAAAGTTCGTTTTTTCCTTTTTCACAAAAAGGGTTCTGTTGAGCATGTGATGTCAGTTCATGCTATTGAAGATAAAGGGTCTGTTTCTTGCCGTCGAAATTTTACTGAATCGTGTGAAAAATCTTAAATTGATTTGTCTATATTCGTGAATTTGGTAATAGAGAAGAGTTTAGGGCCGATGGGAAATTTCAAACCCTAGGAGGTTTGTATGCATCTGTGTATTGTTGTAGAGGAAAGTTAGTGAAATTTCATCGCTGTTGTTTGGTTTGCTAGCTTACTTTAGTACCCTAAAAAGTGGTGTTTTTCTAGGAACATTTTTGTATTAGTGACAGTTTAAGGCTATATTTGGTAAAACTAACTTATAGTTTATAAGTGATTTTTAAACTTATAGCTTATAGCATGTGACTTATAGCTGAAAAGTTATCTTATCTTGTATGATAAAAGTGTTTGGTAAAATTAGGTGATAAGCTAGCTGAAATAGAAATTTCAACGAGCTTATTTGAAAAGCTAACCAAAGAAGCTTATGAGATAAACTCGAGCTTTTTAAAAAATTCGTCTTACCAACCAAAGCTTATTCGAATATAGGAAGCTTATATGCAAACCAAATAAGCTATAAGGTAGTTTATTTGTCCACCAAACATAGCCTAAGGTTCCTATGATCTATAAATTCCTCCTATAATCATAAATTTCAAGCAAAGTTGCATTTTTTTTTTTTTTAAATCTCTATATTGTTTTGTGTGATGGGACAAATTGATGTTAAATGTTGTCTATTTGCAGCTAATGTGCTTGGCTGACCTTGAGTGCGATTACATCAACCCGTATGATTCGGCATCTAGGATAAATAAGGCCGTTTTGCCCGAATTCGTTACTCAAGGAGTTTTGTGCTTGCTCCATCTTATTACAGGACATTGGACCATGTTTCTACTTTCTGTTCCATATTCATATTACAATATAACATTGTAAGTTTCTTTGTTCTGATCCCAGTTCATAAAGTCGTGCCTGTGATGAAAACTCAAAACAGCTACTTTTCTGTTCGAAAACCTTCTCGTAAGATATAAATATTATGATTAACATAGTAGTTAGAAATATTGAGCGGATAAATAGTGAATTGTGTAGTAATAATTTATTTTTATTTTCAAATTGTATTGTTATAAATGAGCTGGGCAAAAAGTGAGATGAGTGAATAATGTTCGTTTATTTCGTATCCAATTCTATGATCAGATATTTTAGGCGGCAGCATTTGGTAGATGTAACTGAGATATTCAATCAGCTCCCTTGGGAGAAAAAAGTTAGATTTTACAAGCTGGGATATTTAGTCATCTTTCTGGCTTTGACAATATTCTTGTAAGTGTTGATCGTGTTTCGTGAATTAAAGTATTAAGTTTTCGCTTGCTCTTTAATTTGCTGATTTCTGAATTTGCAGGATGATCTGGAGCATCGTGGATGTATGAGCAAATACGAATTTGGTGCCATTATTTTAAATTACTATCTGTAAGCTCTTGTTATTTATTATTTGGCGAGCCTACGCATGTGAGAAGCAATTTCTTTTGATGGAATTTGCAAAAATGGTGTCTTTTCAGTTTTCACACTCTTTTTTTTGTGAAAATAACACCACATTTCCTCGTAATATTGGTTGTGAAAAAACATTTTTGCAAGCACAAGCAAAAAAACAGAAGTTTTTGCAAATTTCCTTTGTTCATTCATTTCTCACAACAAAATATTATGCAACAAACAAACATTTCAGGTTCATTACTAACCTAATTACGAAAAAGAACTGCTTTCATTATACCCTAATTTTTGTCCAGGGAGTTTGGGCCCCAAACAGGAAAGCATCGCTTGGATGTTAATCGCCAGTCGAATTGTTTTTGAGAACTTGGAGAAAAAATCGTGAAGTGTACTTGCAGCCGATAAAATATTCGACTCTGTTTTCATACAATAGGAAATAATAATTTGATTTCTAGATAATGTGAACAGTACTTCAATGTGGCTGAAGCATAGTCTTAGGTTGAATATTTCAATTTGATTAACGCATGGGATTGGCTGAGAATGGGTAATCCAAAGTTTGGTACCAATACTTTTTTTTTAATTAAAAATATATAATAATGATTATTTTTTAGTTTAATCTGAAATAATTGGTAATATTTCTGAAATTTTTCATTTATTTCTAATTTCAGTTAGATAAATTTTAACTTAACGACAACAATATATTTTTTTTTATGTTTATTCTCAACTACGTGTTCTTTTTTTTTCTAGTATTATATATGTTCTTATCAATATTTTGCTTTAGTGTCATTATATTTATGAGGGGAAAACGGTGAGAGCCTGCCTCTAGAGATCTATATAAAGGCATATTTCACAATAAATTTGTTGATTACCCATATAATTATTCTTAATCATATTTAAGGACTCAGCTCTCAAGCCACCTGTTTACGCGTGTGTGCTTTGAACCTAACCTGAAATGGGTCAATGACCTCAAGCCGCCTGATTATATTAAAAGTCCATGAGTTTCTAACAATCAATCACTTGGACATTTTCTTTAGTCTCTTGTCTCGAGTCCTCCGCATTTTCTTGGTGGTTCCCCTATTTTTTCCCCATCCCCGAAGTTATTTGGGTTTAGATCTGGATGAAAACTTGTCTAGGCGGTTCGATTTGCCGCAGTTTTCGACTTTAAAGTCTAGTTTTGCTGCTCGTTTGAGGTTTTTGGTTGTGGATGGGACTCGGTTGTCAGTTTTGGTGATCGTGTGGTTCGTTTGCTAAGCTTAGGGGAGGTTTTACTCTAGTTTGTATATTTGGTGTGTGTAGTTTTACTGGTTTAGTCTTCTTTTGTTTTTGTTTTGTTTCGTTTAGTCCAGTTGTATCTGGCATTTAATTTCCCTTGTGGCATTCCCTTTTGTACTTTTTTTAATTTTCTAGTTTTATAATATAATTATCTTTTTGGAAAAAAAAAAAAATTGATGGAAGACAGATTAACATATTAAATCTTCAATTTTGAAGTTTAGTTGCATCTTTTTAAATTAGAGTTTAGTGGGTTTGGCTAACTTTTATTAATATAAAGATCACACTATCATTACCGATCAAAAAAGATCACTATCATTTCAGCATAGAAAATTGAACGTGAAAAATGCCATCTAATCATCTTATTTTTATGTGCTTACAGATCATCTTTTATGATCATGGTCCATCAATAATGTGAATTACACTTATATCAAAATAGATAAGAACATCTCCAATATAATTAATTATATGCTTAATTACAAAAATTCTAATAGTTAATTAATAATTTATAGACTGGTCAAATTTTAACTTGGGTCGTGATTTTAAGTCATCAAATTGAAAGTATTGTGAATGCTCTAGTTTATAAGTTATGCTGCATATGCTTACATAGTTACATATGACCTTTACACAAGTGGCCTAACTTCTATGTTTAACTTTAACCACTTTCTCTTAATTATTTTGTTTTACACTGAAGTTAAGGAGTGTTAAACGGACATATTTTCAATTCAACTATTACCTTTTTTTGGAAGTTGATGTTAGATTATTTCGTGTTGTCCAGGCATGATAATGTTGACCGTAAAATCTGGCATTTCAAGACTTTTTAGCCTAAATGTGAATACTTTTTGCCATAATTTATTTAGAAATGATGTGGGTTTGAATTCGACTGCACTTCTCATTCTTGAGTGAAACCTACCCATAATAATAATAAATAAATAAAAGAATGCTCACACACTACTAATAATCTTTTGTTAGTTTGAGATCACGTTTACATTCTCTTTTAAAAAATAAAAGATAACGCTAATCAAATATATAACTATTTAGAATAAGCATTTTCCAAAACTCAAATGTTATAATTGTAGGGTAACACAATTAATACGGAGCCGACAAAATTATTTCGAATAATTGCCAGCGCCGCTATAAAAGTAAGCCAGCACAAATTCTATTCTCGCTAAGAAATTACAACTAGAGTTAGAGTTAGGTACGTAATCAATAAATTAAAATTTTCTTAATTAAAAATTCTTTTAAGAGATAAGGAAAAAAAATAATAAAGTTTAGTAGCCCACAAGATAAGATAAGATAATATAGTGCACTGTAACTAATCGACCTATATTATTGAAAAAATCATACATATTATTGTTAAAAATCCGATGTAAGACGAAAATTCAATAAAAAAAAAATCATACATATCATAAATATCATGTTGAAAAAAATCTCACAGTAATAAATGACTAATATGCATCACTTAAAGTCTAATTTGTTGTGTTCTCTAAATTATTGACAACATTATTTGGGTTCTTGAACTATTGTTGAATATGACTATGAACTATGAACTATATGGAGTAGGAGAACATGAGTGATTATCTCCTTGAGTCTTAAATCCACAATTTTATCTTTTTATTATAGAATTTTTGTGCAAAAAATAATTTTATTTAAAATTCAAATATTGAAATAAAACGAGAGCCAAATATAAAGGATGGCAATGAATTGAGGCTATAAAAAACGGGAGGACACGTGTCGGAGATGGGCGGAGCCGGCGGTGGAGGACGGCGGTCCATTAAAAAATTAGCCACTTGCACCGCCCACGTTCGCCCCGGTAACCACGTTTTCTTTTACAAGTGTCCAACTAAAAAATGCGCCTTTAATTTGTCGAGATTGGACTTTCTATTCGTGAAATGAGCTTTCATAACCATATATATCTTTACATGTTAGGTTTTGTAGATAATATTCATTTTAAATTCAATAATTCTTGTACGTGTAGATTGTAGACACGTTAATTTTTAAATTGAAGTAACATTTTTTTAAAACAAGATTAATGATTTTATTTTTTTATTTTGGAGAGTAATAATTGAGAAAATAAATATAATAAAAGATTATTGAAATGAGATTGGATATGAAAAGCTATTACTCTTTTGTTTGCATTCAAAATGTTGTCTAAGATTATTCACATACAATAAGACTTTATTCTACGTAATATGCACAACGAATGACTATTTGTGCTAGATCTTCAGTTGGAATAAGTTTGATGCATTGCTTCTATCGAAATTTCAATAATCACACATACTTATTTGCATCAGTATAAGAATATTGTGTTGATCTAAGAGTTATAAACTTCATACTAATATGATTACATCAGAAATGCTTCCTTACCCACGGTGGTCACCTGTTATACACACCGCTTATGTGGCATGCATACATTGGTGATGTTAATATATTAAAAAAAAATATATTACCAATATGTGCATGCTACATAATCGGTGAACATATTAACATGTGTCTACCGTGGATAGGGGAACATTTCCCATGATTACATACTTATAATTTATAAATATCCGTGTAAATGCATCAATATGCCTCTAAGTTCTAATCGTATATTCATGTGTGCTTATTTGTATGAATATGTATCAATATGCCTCTAAGTTCTAATCGTATATTCATGTGTGCTTATTTGTATGAATATGTATTGATACAACAGTTAAAAATTCATTATACTTATAAGTGTGTATAAATCCAAGATTTAAAATTAACTTCATACTAATATGATTACACCCTTACAAATATTTGCGTAAATACATTAACCCAACGATTAAAAGTTAAATCTTCATGAAAAATGTTTGTGTTAGGATAAAGTTTACCAATTCAATCGTGACCAAGAAATTAATTGAATTTAATACATTTGCTGATATTAATTGTCTTGGCTTTTTCCTATTGTGATTGAGGAATTGTTTAGCATATGCGTGCTTAAAGGGTTGGAATTTATGGCACCCACTTTTAATTTAAGGAAAAGGAATTTGGAGACGATGAAAAAGGCTGCATCGTAATTCTATGGCCGACATGTGATTTGTATCGTACGGTTTTGCTATGGAGCCAACAGTTGGCTCCATAGTGGAGTCAACCTTCTATATACATCAAATAAACCTACCATATTCTTAGTGTTATTTAAGTAATCAAAAAATATGAGGTTGGCTCCACTATGGAGCCAACTGTTGGCTCCATAGCAAAACCGTTGTACTGTACAATGCTTGGTAGATTCAAGTGGGGTTTTGATTTTTGAGTTTTGACGACATGTTTTATTTTTTAAATATAAATGAAAACAATGTTTAAGTTTATATTTCATTTTATTAAATTAATAATACGCGTCCATAACATCGTAACAGTTAATGAGTCACTAGTATTCGACCTGTGCATTTGCACAGATATAAATAAATTATTGTGAGTCTGTATGCATATAATGATTAATTATTTTTCTTTCACTTTTTTGCAGACCAAATTTACAATTAAAAGAGTTGGAATATTTTTTTTTAAATTGCGTTTATCTGATTGGATGTAATGTATATTTTGGTACGTCTTTTATTTGTGAATTATTTATTATTTATTTAGGAATTTCAAATATATTTTTTATTTTTTTAAAAAAATGTAACAACAATAATAACATCTAATCACATTATACGGTCAACACATTATATGGTCAACTGTCATTAATCAAAAGTTTAAAATGATTTTTCTAATTTTGAAGTGATGAGTATTAATTATTTAATGATTAAATGAAAGATTAAATACATCAAAATGTAACGGTTTTTGGAGGGAAAATTGTTAAATTGCCACATAGGTAAAAATTAAATAGGTTTATTAAATGTTATTAGTTAGTAATTATATATATATAGATGCGGCTAATAAAATTAAAAATGTAAGTTTAAATGTAATTTTGTAAATAGTAAATTTTTATATAATAAATTGCTGCTCGGGTGGGTGATATCTACTTAGACAAGTTCTTGCGTAAGTGCCAAGTTAAATTTTGGCACTGGTAAGCCTGTTGTAATGTTGGTCATGTTATATTTTTTTTAAATAAATATGTATACTTTTAATACAAAAGTATTTTAAAAAATAACATAAATGAATATATAGTATTTTATGATTTAAATATGTATTTTTGTTAAAAGAATATGATGGATTGATTTTATCTATCATATAAAAATTTGTGTATGCATTATCTTATGAATTTTAAATCTTATATCTGCTTGTTAGCTATTTCGAGTTATCTAATAAGTCATTAATTCATCTTACACCAACTTTTTATTTTGAATATTAATTTATTGAACT